TTTTGAATACTAAAATGACAAGGCCCAAAGTTTACCTCCAGCGATTCCATCGAATCGCTTGAAATCAGCCTCCGGGCAAGAAATCACCCACCCAGATTAGCACATAGTTGTAAAGCGGGCCTCAGGAGTATCCGAACTACGTTGGTCTGATCCTTTGACGTGGCCCTCTAAAAGAAGATACGGGCTTGCGAAACGTATCACAAACCACCCCTTCGTATCACAAACCACCCCCTGAGGACGTGTGCTCACGCATCGATCGATCATGGATTGCATCTGCACCCACGCAGTTGCAGCTCCTCTTCAGTGGCGAGCCGGGAGGATAAACAATCCGAAACTCGTCCGCGCCCTCAGAACAGGGTCCCCAGAAATTGGGTTGTTTGGGGGTTTTGGACAATTTGAACGTTATAACTGTAATCAAAGCCATGGAGACCCCTGGAATCACAAAAACATGAGAGGCAAAATTTTGTCCGGACGCTGCCGCTGAAGGCAGTGTCCGGCCAAAAACTCGATTTCTAGCAAATCCACTTACCGGGGGTTATTCGCAACGCTGAATCCCAAAGTCCACATTAGAATGCGCAAAAACGGCGAGAACGTGCGTTTTCCAAAGCCTTACAATTTGGATTTCGGCGGTCCTCGCCAAGGCAGAGACGCAGAGTCGCTGCGGGACCCTACGATTTTGACTGTTGCGGCAGCGTACTCTGCCGCATAGCAGGAATTCGGACAGCTTGGAAGACCCAGTCCCGGCGTAAGTTTGCACACTTTCCTGTCGTTTTTCTTGCTTTAGGTCGAGCATTATGACGTCAGCGATGTTGTGTCTGAGGGGGGGGGCCACTTTCGCATGGCACTGAAATCCCAAAACCCCATTTTGTTTGGACACGTGTCCGGGCAAGACGGAGGTTTTGGGATTGCAATGCCATGCTAGAGTGGCCCCTCTTAAACAGGACATCGCGCAAATGCGACGAAGGCCTAAGGCATACCTCCCGCGATCCCAGTCGCGTCGCAAATTCCAACTCGGACATATGTTCCGAGTCCGCAGCGCAGGCGCCTCCGACTGTGTGGTCCCGTCGCGTTTATGTAAGATTGACGCCGTGACGAATCGCGGGCCGTATTTAGACGGGCATACCTCAGCAGGGGAATTGTCGCGACATCGCTGAAACTCAGCGATGTCGCCGGTTTCTAGTATTGACCCAGCGATGAGCGAATCGCACGAATAGCTTCTTCTTTGTTATGAAATTTTGTATTTTTTCTTGCAAATGCAAATTTCATTTGGGACTTTTCCATCTCACACAAACGCTTCCTCTCTGCATGAGGGAAGGATGGTCATCGAACATTTCATACTATTGATCCTTGAAAACAACACATGCGAGTTATATAATACCAGTATGATCGCGCGGCTACGCCGGACTCTCATACTTTGTTTGCAAAATCTACGAATACATTTTCACAAACTCTCATGGGCAATGCCTTAATTTTTATTGATTATGCAGTCAATTTAAAGTGTAAAGTGTAATTAAAGATGCAGAATTTGCACTGTGGTACTACAGTTCCACACTTCGAGGCAAACTTCGTAACCGTTTTGCTATTAACCATTAGCAGAACAAAAACTTCCGAATGTTTTTCCTCTTCATACTGCAGCGCAGATTCTGTTCATATGCTCCAGTTAGCATCTACTCCAGAGACTTTAGATGACGCTGCGAATCTTGCGCGCATCTGATAAAGCTCTGCTCACGGTCCCCATTTTGGGGCTCCAACTGATGTCGTGCTGCATCTGCGTTTAACCGCAGTGCCCGCTGTTCTTCGCTTTCAACAAAACGGTGATTTCTTTGACGTTCTGCACTGATGCATAAATGCCGGGACGTCCATGCCTATGCAATATTGGTTCCTCTTTAGATGATTCTATTTCAGTATCTTGTATGCTCTAAATGATAACAGTTACTTTAGTATGCAAATACAATCCAGATCTCAATAAAAATTTTAGCTAGTTGTCAGAAAAACATCCAATTCTCTAACATTCCCATTCACTTACTAAAAGTAAGAAAAGTAAAGAAAATCTTAGCAGTTCTTCCATCTAGCTCTCCATCTAGCTCTAACATTTATTACCGTTTGGTAAAACATCTATACAGAAGATGGTTTGAGGCTTAGCTAAACGTATAGTGGCTACCGACGTCACTCTATTACCCCCACAACCGTTTTGATAACAGCTGTTACCACCTTACCGCTCTTACATGTGTGAGTCAGTTGTCCTTGCAGCATTAAAGTCCCGCAGATTAGTGATTTTTACATGATCGTGTAAGTTGGTCTCATTGTTAGTCAACGAACGAACGGGATGTATGCCGTCTTTTGTTGGACACTGATATGTTGATTAAAAACATTTCCTGCGGTAACGAAGGTAGTAGATGTAACGGAACATTAAACACAATAAGGCCATAATGTGTATGTGTGTATGTGTGTGTATGTGTGTATGTGTGTATGTGTTTATGTGTGTATGTGTGTATGTGTGTATGTGTGTATGTGTGTATGTGTGTATGTGTGTATGTGTGTATGTGTGTATGTGTGTATGTATGTGTGTATGTGTGTATGTGTGTATGTGTGTGTATGTGTGTGTGTGTTGTGTGTTGGCGTTGGGTCTCAATGTTATTGTTAAAATTGCTAATGCGAAACGTCGCTACGCTTTTTATCATTGGGGACGCTGCTCTCCTCACCGCATGAGTTTTCATGCATGTCCTGAGCCCAAGTATGCAGCGTTTTTTTAGCATTTACCTAGGAGCTTCCTTCAAAAAGAGAATTGTGATATGTTTGGAAGAATCCAGAAAACTCCACACTTTATCAAGCAAAAACTTTTAACAATTCTAGGCGCTCTCCTGAATAGTGAGATCTGCCACGTGGAATCAGGGGTTTGGTGTCTCCGTCTCAACGTCTCCCAGTGCCCTCTCCTTTTATAACGGTTTATACTAAGACTCACCCGAATAATGCTGATCACCTCCAATGAAATGTAAACAACTATCCATTGCAAATCTACCAAATTAGAGCGGTAACTTTGAGACAGAAAAAACTTTTCAAGAAATAAATTTGATTTTCAATAACTTACTGAAATTGTAATGATTTGATGATCAACATGAAGGCGGTAGCTACCACATACCACATTTCTGAGCAAAAATCTCTCGGTACATGAGTTTCCTTAGAAAATATAAAGGAAAGCTGAGCTCTTTTTCGGCGTCTCTTTCATAGAGAATTGAGATTTTCGAACAATTTTATTGCTCATGCTCAATAGGATCTTCAACAAAACCAATCATTGACTACATCGTGAAAATTTTCCTCCAATTTTCTTCATTAAAAGCTATGTGGACACGCTTCACGTGCAAATTCCAAAGGAAGTGCATTGATTCCGTTCGTCCTTGCGCATAGTGAATCTACATGCTGAGAGCGTATGCTGTGCAAAAAATCGGTTTGAAACCTTGATTGTAGCTCGCTCTGTGAATTTCGTGACAGACAGAGATTCACACACACAGACACACACACAAACGTAAACAACCCTTAGCCCGTTATTATAAGTATTGATAATGATGGAATGCTTCCCACATGTTACCTCGCCCTCTCTGTTAGCATTTATTGTTCTCGCAATGTATTAATCTTTTTCTGTTCTTGTTTATCGATTACAAGTAGTGACCAAACCTCGAATGTTCCTGTTATAATTTCCGAACTGGATAGAATAGATGTGCAATCTCGGTGCTAAGACATATATCATTCATTGTCTAAGAGACATAAGCATGCTTCGCGTACGTTCCGTTTATAAGGATAGTGCGTTTTGACGCGATTTGGTAAGTCACTATTGGGATGTGCTTAAACATGATCGGACTCGCGTTATTTTACGAGCTTGAACATGTCGCACCAAGAACCTGACTCGTAAACTTGTTGATTAAACGTAAGCAAAGCTTGCTGGTGTCCTGTAGTCAGAGAATGAATGATTTGTATAAGCGTTCGCAGATTGGCAGACAAGAGCTCGCGCAGCACTCATTGTTGAAATAGCTTAGTCAGAGCATATGCCTACCAGTGACTGAAAGAGAACTCAGAACTTTATGAACTATTGTCGATTTCATCGCAGACGTAACTATAGGGCGTTCGAGAAATCGTGATGATGGGGCAACCGCGCGCGACACGCACGCCTTCCAGCAATTGCATTTTCTTGTTCTCTATCTCTACTCGAATGACTTTTCTACTACTTACATATAATAGTGTTCAGACACTAGAAGTGACTTTACTTATGCTTGAGGTAATGCCTGTTTGTATGGGTTTTCATTCTACTAAGTCTGCAAAGGCCGCAGTCAAACTCATCGTCACGATTTCGAAAATGACCTATACTAAACTTGCGCCAGTGAAAAACGTTGGTAAATACTGGGATGCGTGTAAGCCCATCCAAAACCTTTCTTGTTTGATGTAATGTTCTTTTAAAGCATATGGCGCCACATTCTGCTCAAATTCTCTCGAATAAATGCACTTCAGAGAATTTAGCGCAAGTTTTCCAAAACTGCGTATAATGCGATGTGGTGTGTGAGCGTTCACAAAATCGCTACGGGTATGCCCAGGGGTCGAGCGATGAGCGATTCTGACGCACCGGACAGTCGCCCAGGCAATCTAGTTGCAGCGATCGAAAATCGTAACGACTGGATTGCTGGAGGTATGCCAGGCCTGACGCAGTCTTTGAACTCTGCAACTTGGCATTTTGCCAGATTCAAGTTTACCGCACTTGTAACAAAAATCCATTACTTTGCACATTCCATCGTTTTTTGTCAACTTTTATCTACGCGAATTTCGGAAATGGTGCAAGCACGCGGACAGAGATGACACATAAATGTGGGACAAGGAAACTTTATGTAGATGGGATAAATTGGTGGGTTTTCCCTTACGTCAATAGAGACCGAACAAAATGGATTTTATCTCAGCTAGTTTTTGAATATTTCTAGAATTATTTTCCACATATTTTTGCGACACTCATGGCTAACTTAAGATGATATAAGAAAATCAGCTGGTGCTGAAAACTCACTTAGTATTAATGGTTGCGCGTATATGGCTATAGGAGACGACCGAATTCCACATTGTTTACTCTTGACCTCATCAGCATAGTAGAGGTAGTGGCATCTACGATACATAGCGTCGGCATCTAATCGAGCGACTATGGTGCCAAGGAAACCTTGAGCCTGTAAAGATTTACTCTCAAACCTTATAAGTACCGTATGACTTACATAGGTGGGCAGAGGCACGCTTTGATCAACAGCTCTAGACAGAGTCACGCTTTGATTGACAGCTGCTTTCTCACAAAAATCCCCATTCATCATTGGCGTCACCTCCAAATCCTCAAGCCCTAAGGGCCATGCTAAATCAAGACAATAGGATTTTACAATGTGAATATTGACTACTGGTGTCAACTTGAGTACCTCCGACAAGGTATTTGAAGGTGAGCTCAATTGTGCCAAACGAACTCGCAGAGGAACCTTTCTAAAATCTCATACAAAAACCTTTATAAGGACTCATCAAAAACGTACATAGACCGCTTCCAGTAATTCGAGCTTTCTGATCAAAGGTTGCGGCTGACCAATAAAAGACGGTTCGGAAAACGGTCCGGTAGCCGATGGAGATACCGCCGCTACACTGCAAGAGCACCTTGAAAAGAAAGTTCTGCATAACAAGATAAAATGTTGATAGCACTGACCGGATATCAACGGGCTTACAGAATATACTTTCGGGTCTCAAAAAATCTGTAATAACAGGTTTCGTTGTGATCTGAAAAAATGTTACTTTAGTGTTGTCGTTTTCGTTTTCCGTAGATTTGTGTGGATGGTTCCGAATGATTGGAAATAATAGCTGATATGACATACCAGAGACCAATTGCTCTTAACCAAGGGAAAGCGCCTTATATGGCAACCATCCATATCAAAATCAATAAAGAGCCCTGGATATCATAGCAGGGGCAATCATCACATGTCATACAAAATCAAAATAATCAAATATTATTGTCTAAGTTCCGTTTCTTTCCTACCGTTACGCGGAAGCTAGACAGAACCACGACCTCTGGAAGCCATCAATAACGATAAAAGTTTGTTCTAAAATAAGAGTGAACATAAAGAACTAACCTTAGTCATGTTGTCTGCAAAGTACGATGGTGCCTCAACCTATAATAACAAGTACAATATCAAAAGAGGAGGCAATATTATGTGACTAAAATTCTTGAATAATGACCTATCTCTAGCCTACGATACGTTACCCTTCTCAAACTAACCAAAGGACGCACATGTTGGTCACGTACGATTTATTGTGAAAATCATGACTTAAAATAAAGCGCTAAGGCCGTCTGTCTGTCCGTGTGTGTGTATATCTGTCTGTCACGAAATTCATAGAGTGAGCAGCCAAGCTATCATGCTACAATTTTGCAAAACATATCGCACCAGTAGGTGGGTCCACCCTGCTTTTGGCAAGCAAAACTAGGTCGCTAATTCGACTTTTTGCAAAGTCATGATTTGCCTGCCAGGTAAACCTGCGCCCCATGAATTCTAGCCCAAAAAGTGCTCAAAAAGTTTGATTTTCTGCGATAACAGCGCCAAAAAGTGGTGATCGTCCAGGTAGTCGATTTGGCAAAGTTTTACCTTAAAATCTGAAAGGATTTTAACACGGAGGTGTAACTCAAAGTAGCTATTATCCTTATGACGACTATCAAGCCAAAACAAAATCAGTAATACATTCAAATTCGCGGTTGTTCCTTTACGAGAAAATTTTTCTTCTCAAAGTTACCGATCTCAATGGAGATGCTTTAAGAATGAACAGTTGTTTACGAAAGATTTGTGATGTTCAGCATCGCGTGGTGAGTTTTAGATTCATACTTGAGCGAGCATAAGGCTCACGGATACGAGAGCCAGTGCAAACCTCCGCGAAGCGGAGGTGACGCACTGGTTTTTAATAATTACGTAGGTGACCTATGTATATCGATAAATGAATTTTCAAAAACAGAATCATTGTTACTGCGTGCTGTTCTGTTTAGTATGCGTTCTTATAACTCACTAGTTGGCTTTCCCGGTCCAGACCGAGCCATCGTTCTCCTGCGCGAGCCCACCCTCCCCCCCCCCCCCTTCTATATGTTATGGACAACTTACCCTGGGACACCCGCTTCGAAACCGCATCCTCGTGTTTCTGAGGTGAAAATGAGCTTCACCGTCCTTCTTCACATGACTATGAGAAAATGCTTGATCAAACACGACAAGCCTTCATTTCCTTAGAAAAACGTAAACAAATCAATAAATCGATAGAAGGGCCCAGTGAATCGCCGCAAAAAGTAGCCTAAAACCGTTTCCGGCGTCGAAAACATCTGTATGCAAACTTTCTGCCCAATCGGTTGAGCGGCGCGCGTTTCTAAAACTCACATACCCTCCAAACAGACAATTTTTGAGTTTTACAATACCGCTCATAGAATGTGCAAAATTTCCGTGAATGTCGCAGAATTCCAGGAATTCCGCGAAGGTTCGCGAAATTTCGGGAACATTCGCGGAATTCCTGGAATTCTACGACATTCACGGAAATTTTGCACATTCTATGAGCGGTATTGTATATATATTAGGTCGTTCCGAAGGTTCTTTCCGTTTTTTCAACATATCATAAAAATACGTGGAACGAAGAAAAAGAAACGCTTCAGGCACTACGCAACTTTTCTTCCTCTTTTCAACTGTTGTTTCCCTGTGCCGCTCGCTCTTGTGGTCAGTGAGATAATGGCCGAAATTTCGAATTCATGGTTTTTACCATGTCCAACTTTGACAATTTTTCACTATCTTCTTTTTTGACTTTTGGAAAAGCTTTAATAGCAGTCGGATAGAGTAAACAAAGTGCAATGCAATGCAATTTTTCGGCAATTTCAGCTGGCTTTTCATTATTTTTTTAGATAACTTTTTCAGAAGTCTTCACTTTTCCGAAGTCACAAAACACACAAACGCTCTGAACATCAACAAATCTTCGGTTTTGAAACTTCCAAAAGTCGCCTATAATTGTACACTATTTTTACAGAGTAACTGAGTGTTTACCGCTTTGATATATAAGATTTAGCATTTCACGGGTACATCATGAGGCGGGTTCAAAATCAAGATTTATGGAGATTTTGTCGCCAGAGACCCCTCAAACTATGAAGAAAAAGCACTCATCAGAAAGAGGAGGAAAAGCTGCATCGAATGACACCTTGCTGTGCGCCGTTTCATGTTCTATGGCTTTTGGCATTCCCAAAAGTGGAATTCGATAACATCAGAAAAATAATTCTAGAAATGTTTTGAGGCTAGCTATAGATGCCGAAAAATTGCATAAAATTGCACTTTGTTTACTCTATCTAACTGCTATCAAAGCTTTTCCAAAAGTCAAAAAAGAAGATAGTGAAAAATTGCCAAAGTTGGACATGGTAAAAACCATGGGTTCGAAATTTCGGCCATTATCTCACTGACCACAAGAGCGAGCGGCACAGGGAAACAACAGTTAAAAAGAGGAAGAAAAGTTGCATTGGACAGTGCCTGAGGCGTTTCTCTTTCTTGGTTCTACGTGTTTTTATGACATGTTGAAAAAACGGAAAGAACTTTCGGAACGACCTAATATATAGAGATTTCTCAATTATGTATGCATGTATGTATATACGGATGTATAAGTGTACGTATCTACCAGTGGCGGACCGAGTGGGAGCCTATGGGTCATAAAAATGTGTAAGTGGAGGTTATGGGCCCAAAAATCTTGAGAAGCACCCCAAAAAAGTGTTCGAAATGCCTAGCTCACGCCATGCACCTTCATTTAAAACAAATTTTCCCCCCTGAGATCGTGGGACTGTCACTGGTGTCTACTTGTATGTATACTTGTGCGTATGTACACCAGCAGCGGACGGCCGAGAATGGGTCGCGAAATTGAAAGTTAATTACATGTGTATAGAAGTGTGCGAGCAACTTTTCCATTTTTGAATAATTATAATGATTTTTGAAAATTTCAAAGCCCCTTTTTTTCTAAGATCTTGGGCCTAGGTTTAACGGCCGCGAAAATATCGAAAAGCGTCTCAAAAAATTTCGGAGTGCGTAAATGTCGCCACGCGCTTTCAATTGAAAAGTTCCCTCCCTCTTTTCCAACGACTCTCGGACCGCCACTGGTATGTATGCATGTATCGTCATCAATATGTGATCCTATGTACAATATGTGATATATGTGTATGTGATCCTATGTACATAACGCGTGCTCACGGACGTCATCCTTACGCGAAACTCCTCAGCAAAATCTTTTCTAGTCCAAAAATTGTAAAAATGTGTCCTCTTTTGAAATGAATTTTTCCTCGCGGACTTTTTGAAAGTTATAAAATTTATTCAGCCTTTCACAAAAGTTCGTTTTTTCGAGAACAAACTGTAAAAGGCTGAAGATTTGTGGTTATGCTTGTAAAGGTTAGTATAGAATTAGCTGTGTGGGAACAGCTCGGCACAGCCCGCTTTGGAAGAAATATGAAAATTCTCGTTTTTTGATTCTAAGCCATGTAAAAACAGCGACTATGCATATGAATGACCGATGTAAAGTGTATATCCTTAGTTAAGGCCGGAAGAGGGGGGGGGGGTTGTAGAATTTATATTGGGAAGATGTTTTTCGGCTTTTCGGCTATTTGAGACCCTTTAAATTTCGGCTTCAAATTTCATGTAGATCGAAATTGTTGCGATTAGACCATCATGTTGCTTTGCTCTATCATTGATACCGCGTACACTTTCTTTGGTGTTCGTCTGCTTCGATAGCACATGGTAGCTCAAAATGCAACTTCTTTTCCTCCCAACCTGATACCATTATGGTGCTCTTTTTATTGCTTATACTAAAATTCAGACGGGTTTGAAGTTATTTTCATTAACAAATTTCGATAGTGTGATTTCTATTATTATACCTGCATATGTAACTTCTGCGTTTGTGTTATAATTAGTATGATTATCTATATAAAAATAAAACTCACTCTCCGTAAATTTGTTCGTATGTAAGTATGTGGCTTATAGACTCCTTTGTTTGTGAACCGATGAGACGAAATTCGCTCCCCTATAAATGAAGCCGGGCGCAAAAGATAGGCTACTTTTTGCGACGACTCGCTGTGTCCTTCTATCGATTTATTAATTTGTTTACGTAAATCTAGGAAAAGAAGGGTTCATCAAATCATTTGTTCAAGTGAGAGTGAAGATTAGCGGCATGTCTCATTCTGAGTTTTTGGCATGCAACTCGCAGTGAGAAGTGTACCTCAAGTAGGTTGTATGTACAATTCTTATCAGCTGCAGCGTCGGGCGCATCAGCTCTCCGCTTCCGCGCGGCCGCCTTGCCTGGACTCTGCGCCTCTTTCGCGAACATGCTCTCTGATCACTTTCCCACCTCGAGCGTGAGAAAGACGGAGCCTCAATTGATTACAAATGATTAGAGAGCATGTTCGCAGAAGAGTCCAAGCCCTGCGCGTGAACGGAGGTGCTGGTGCAAAAGACACTACAACTGGTAAGCTCTGTAAGTCAAAGGCACTGGATTTGCTGTTGCGAATCTAAGCGGCCTCAAAAACAACAGCATTAGTAACAGTCATCCACAAAATAAGTTCGATTATAGATTAGAGAGACTTTTCTTGTCGTAATACGTGGATAAGAATTTTTGAGTTGTAACAGCGATATAAGGAAACAAATTCTCGGCTACCCTCACTTTTGCCACAGTCCACTTCGCAGAGCAGAATATGGAGGCATTGTTGAATCTTCTGAGATGAAGAATTGGAAATAGATAGAATTCAACCGATTAGAGGATGTAGCAATGAAAATGTTCTTATTGTGAGTGATATGCTGATTACTCCCATTCCACTATGCTTACAAGTACAT